TCGGGGAATTAGCCGAGCCAGAATTTTGCTACTGCCGTTCCGTGTTCTGCGATTTCCATTGAACTTCGACCCTGGATATTCCGGCAATAATTGCTGAGGTTACTCTTTGAAAGCTAGTGATAAATACCGCAGCAGTATTTGTTTTTCAAAGATCGATTAATCGGATCAATCTAGACGATCAAAAATTAGTCTCTCTTGAGCGGAGATCCAATTTCGGTGATCGATAACCGGATTGGAATTCTGCTGTATTTGAATGTCTTTTGAAAGTTTTGGAGTTTAATAACTATTGAAGTTAGCTTCTATTGAAGTTTAATAACTTCAATTGCTAAAGAATGTTCTTAGTATATAAAAGTGTTTAGGAGATAGGCCTGCAACAATGTTCTGCGATCACGGGACGCGATATACTTTTTTATATTTTAATTAAAATTTACTAACAAAGAAATAAATGTACAGATTGCATTGGAATAAAACTGTACCAGATAATCTGACCTGTATGTTATTGACGACCAGTGACTCAGAATTAATATTTTTCGTGCAAAACTAGCGCCAGTTTACTGCTGAAAACAAAAATAAAGTTCGAAATAGAAGTTTAAAAACAGCGCTGTTTGTGACAAGTAGCGCTCCTTGCGGTGAAATATCGAAGCTCGATTCGGAGTCCGTACAGCGCCAATTGATGCAGTGGCGAAACGCTCGAACTGTTAGTCGAATTCAACTGTCGGTAATTTTGGCTACTGGTTTCAGCAATTTGCCACCAATTGGCGCTGTACGGACCTCGAACGGAGCTTCAGTTTTTCGCCACAAGAGGCACTACAATCGCCTACTTCTGCTCAACGCAGGGTCTCCGAAAATCGCTAATAATGGCATAATTAAAGCAAAAACAATTTATCACGAGCATGGAATTATTTAGGAGAATTTGCTGCAACGATTCCATAACAATAAAACAGATAACAAAACCGAAGAACATAATTAATTAATATGGTGAATAATCAAACTTCAAAAAGCAAATTGATTGTTTTCCAGCGTTGTCATTTGTTTTTTTATATGATATCGAAACAATAAACTCTCCTAAACAATACTGTGCCTTTGCTTTATTGTTTTATGCTCTCATTTTGTCATGATTAATATTTTATTATTTATATAAGGTAACATTGAATCAAAAGTGATTTCGAAGTAAATAATACTGGAATTACAATCATTACACACTACTTTTATTATCCAATTCCAATTTCCATATCACAGTAACATTTATTAATATCAGTTAATGTTTTTAATCGAATAATTAATATAATTTCTCAAGTTTTATTTAAAATAACAAAATGTGGATCAATGTAATATTTGTATAATTTAATTCACTTACTGAGGAGAAATAAATATTTATTTATTACACGTTGATATTTCTTGTTGCGTTCAAACTTTCCTTCCTTTATAATGTATCTAGCGTAATTTAATATATAAACTTCCCGTTTACATATTAGAAAAATACCCTGTCCTCCAAATAAAAATTATTAGGGATATTCAATGGCCCCACCGTATCTTGCAAATCAATCTTTCTTGAATAACATTTGGAGACAAATATTTTACAAATCAGTCTTGTCTTAACAAATGTGCATGCAGAGATAAACAGTATTTTACAAAGCACGAGTTAATATAATCGTAACATTATTTAAATCTGCAACTACAGCGTAATGTATTTTTCGTAAAATGATACAGAATATAGTATTATTATTGTTCGTTTATAACAATTACAGCAGCATTTATACACAGAACAGGGTTGTTTTTATTGAATTGTTCAAACCTCCTTAATTTCATTCCATATTACCATCCAGGACTTTATGTTTGCCTTTAGATGATATATTTTGGCAGATCTGCAAACTTACAGCTCGTGTCATTTTACATGTTTGCTACGTATAGTTTTAAACGTGTAGACAAATGCAAACGACTTAGGAAATAGTGGATTGAGAAATATTCCTTCGACGTGTGAGCGATCATCCCTTGATTGTCAAGGAATCTATACGCGTCTTTTTATTTATGATTTATGAATTAAATGAATAAAAAAATATTAAAAAAGTAAAAGGTACTGAATTCACCCGGATACAAGACAAAATCTTTTGTGTATTTCAAAAACAATTGTAAAATAGAAACGTTGCTGGCTTGCACAATGTGGTTAGATTAGAAATTTTCGTCGATTTATTAAGTGGACCATGGCTACCCTATGTATTTTGATGGGACGTACTAGTTTCCTGAAAGAAAACATAAATCATCAGTACAATTTTTAATTCATTTCTAGCAACAACTAATTCTATTATTTCACATATGAAATATATGTAACTTGAACAAATGTTAATGCTCGTGTCGGTTTTACCTGACTACAAGAAGGCCGCTAAAACTGTGCTCTACCGTTAGGTTGAAAAATTCAAGCAGCAATAATTTTTTCATTAACATAATATACAGGGTGTACCAAAAATCATTGTACAAGCGGACAAGGGGTTTTACATGTAAAAATATGACGGAAGAAAAGAATAACATTTTTCCATTTAAGGCACCGTTTTCGAAAAAAGTTACGTTGAAAAAATAAAACTATTAAATAGGAATCAAGAAACGCGTCTGACCATGATGTACCAGGTCTATTTGTCGCCATACTACAAGCCACAAGAACTTGACACACCTTCCAACTCAGTTTTCTGGAAAACAAAATCTTAAATGAAAAAATGTTACACTTTTCTTCGACTTATTTTTACACGTAGAATCACTACCTGGCCGGTTGTACCACGATTTTCGATACACCCTGTATAGACATATACATATACACAATATGTACACATATATATATATATTGCATTTAGCTTAACTTACATATTACATTAGTTTTTTTTAACTATAGTAGTTTTATATTAAACATGAACACTCACTACCTACAATTCCAAAATCTTCTTATATAAAAGTATAGGAACTTAAAAGTTTTTCTCTTGTTGTGAAACTTCATATTGCTAATATAAATATCGTCTTGTATTCGGGAGAATAAAATATGTGACTTTAAACATTTTTGGATTTAGCAATTGAAGAAATAACGTGAAAAACTTGCTACTGTTAAATAACTGTAGTTATGAAATTGGAATACATATGGTCCCTTCATTAAATGTAGGATTTTGTACAATATCAAGCAAGATATGCTAATATCAGTTTGCGGTATTCAACAAATAATAACATATATGTGTCCATAAACTGAATGAGTAATTAATGTAAAAAAGTATTAATATGAGAAAAATGTACCACATTTTGGAATGATATACAGAAATTAACACAAAGCTTATACGCTTCACGATACAGGACCTACGTTTATAATTTTGAACAATATTGAAAAATTAATTGTATTT